CAAGATTAAGATAAGAGACGGCTGGGCCTGTGCTGTGCGTGGGCGTGGTAGTGTCCCAGCTGCTCGGGAGGCTGAGGCAGGAGGATTGCTTGAGCCGGGGAGTTTAAGGCTGTGGTGTGCTATGATTGTGCCTGTGAATAGCCACTGCACTCCAGCCAGGATGAGAAAGTGAGACCTTGTCTCTTAAAAGAAAAAAAAAAAAATAAGAGAAGGTTAGGCCTATACGTGACCCTAGAAATGCCACATAGTGGAGTAGTTAATAAGAGCTTGTATTAGAGACTATCTGGGTTTGAAACCTCATTCTACCACTTCTCACCTGCATGAATTTGGACAGTTTTGGACAGTTTCTGCATCTGTGAAATGGGGGTGATTATCCCTACCTTACAAAGTTGTTTTGAATATTAAATGAGTCAATGTGAAGTTCTTAGAACAGTGTCTGACACGCAGTTAATGCTCAACCAATTTTATTTTCCTTTGTGGTGTCTTTGAAATGCAGAAGCAAGTAACAGTATTCAAGCCTACAGTCAACTTTCAATTATTTTCCTCCCTAAATTCATTAGATGAGTATCTGGCAATTTGGAATTGCCAAAGTGTTGCACAGCACCCTGTCCCTAAGAAAAAGAGCTCTTTGATTATACGTTTGGTGATGTTGCACTCACACGCTCTCTTCTAGGTCACCGGGCTGGTTATTGGAAGTCTCACAGTAAAGACACCAAACGTTTCACCTCCTGAACCAGTGTTCTATGGAACACATTTTTATATCTATTGGATATATATAAATCAGAGAAAAAGTTAAACTATAGATCATCCCAAAATCCCAAATGGGCCATTTTTCAATAGCAGTTCAAACAGAGTCAAGGACAATATTTATATTTGCAGATTAGGTCAATTTTTTACTTCAAGGCATGTCTATTGACTGAATTAGTAGTCGTTTTTAACAATCAATATGTAATGAAGATTGCAGCAATTACTCAAATAATTAAACCAAAAGTAAAGTTTCTACAATAATTACTGAAGCAATAGAACTGCCTTTTGCGGGCTTTAAGTCTTTATTTTTCGTATTTTTTAAAATGACATAAAGACTTCTGAATCATTGCTTTTCAAAAATTCAATTCTGCAGTAGGAACAAAGGAGATCTTCAAATTAAATATTTTCTCTAACAACCCAAATTCCCAAAACTGGCCAGGCATGGTGGCTCAAGCCTGTAATCCTAGCATTCTGGGAGGCTGAGACTGGAAGATGGCTTGAGGTCAGGAGTTTGAGGCCAGCCTGAGAAAGAGCGAGATCCTGTCTCTACTAAAAACAGAAAAAATTGACCTGGTGTGGTGGTCCGTGCCTGTAGTCCCAGCTACCTGGGAGGCTGAGGCAGGAGGATCACTTGAGCCCAGGAGTTTGAGGTTGCTGTGAGCTAGGCTGACTCCATGGCACTGTAGCCCAGGCAACAGAGCAAGACTTTGTCTCAAAAAACAAAACAAAAGAAAACAAAAAAACAAATTCCCAAAACCAAAGTGTGTGATATAAATCCTAAGAATTCTAGTTCACTGTTGGACACAAGATGTTTTCACTGTGATGCTAGAAAAGACAAGTCTCTGCCAATTTCCTCCTGTTATTGCTGCTGGAGTGGAAGTACTGCAGAGTCAGGAGCTTGGTCATATGCTTTCTTAAAGATAAAGGTGGTGTCTTATCTATCTTTGCATCTCCAGCCCAGCCTTGCCCCTGGCGCTAAGTAGATGCTAAAAAATATTTGTTGAATGAATAATCTCCGTCCTCCCAAACGAATTGTAAAGAAAATTAACTGTATTATGTTGGCATTTTAGGAGCTTACGCAGTTCTACCACTATTCTCTGAGAATAGCTACGGAATAATTCAATTATGCCAATTAAGTATGCCAATCTTATTTTTCAAGATCCCTATCAAATAGACAGAAACAGTTTTAGAGTTAGTGTAACAATTGCTTATAGGGAGATACATACTTTTAAAATGTTGGAAAATTGTTTTTGTGATGGGTTTGAACATTTTCCCTCTAATCTAATTTATATTATTATATTTGCTTTAAAGTGTCCTTCAAAAATAAAAAAATAAAAAGGAACTTCAGAGATTGAATCTTCATAAAGTCTGCATTTCTAAATTCTAGCGAATAATGAGCCTTTTTAAAATAGTGGGAGAAATGGAGTCTAGGAAAACATTCAAGAATGCCAGCTACAGAAGATATGTGGTAGTAAACTTCAATAGTTTAAAGAACTTTGAATTTTCAAAATCTCCGTGTATGTAGTCCAACCTAATTACAAGAACAAACATAAGGCCAAAAAACAAATGTTTTCTCATTACTTGCCTTTGGGGCCACACCTCCCTGTCTGCACATAACCCAGGGGTGCTGGTGGGTGAATGATTAACTGCTGTTTATTTGTGCTAATGGAGAACAGTCACATAGGCAATACAAAAAGGTAGTTATTTATTTCATCAATTTCAGCACCTCTGCAAGTACCAGCCATTAAATAAGAGTAATTAAATGTGAATCTGTCTAATGGTCTACCCTGGCCTTTGTTCTGTCTCAGACAGTTGTATGAGGATATGCTTTGTAAGACTGTAAAACTGTCTTTCATGCTGTCAATGTTAAAAAGGATATTCTGTACTCCTAAATTTCTAGCTTTCATCAAAAATCCTTTAGAAACTTTTGGAAATTGTTAATGGATTTATCTAATTACATGGCAGGGTAGGATGAACTTTATACAGTGCCTGATGGAGTAAGTGCTATTTTTATTTAATGAATGTTGAATTATGTGGATTTCACTAACTGTGTCACCTTGGCCAACACACCTAACCTCTCTTGAGCCACTTTCCCCCATTTGCGAAGTGAGAATTTGGACAAACGGTCTCTAAGATGTCTTCTTACTTCACAATTCAGGTCTTTTTTTTTGTTTTTTTTGATTTTTTAATTTTTTTAGAGACAGGATCTAGCTCTATCACCCACGCTGCAGTGCCGGTGGCTCAATCATAGCTCACTGCAGCCTCAATTTCCTGGGCTCAAGTGATCCTCCCACCTCAGCCTCCTGAGTAGCTTGGGACTACAGGTGCGCACCACCATGCCCGGCTAATTGTTTTATTTTTGTAGAGATGGGTTCTCACTATTGGCCCAGGCTGGTCTTGAATTCCTGACTTCAAGCGATCCTCCTACCTGGCCTCTCAAAGTGCTAGGATTACAGGTCTGAGCCACTGTGTCTGGACCACAATTCATTTTTAAAACTATGTCTTCCTATCCCACATCTGGGTGAAGCAATCTCTGTTTCTTACACAGCATGAAAATAACATAAAGCTTTTTGCCTCCACACATTGCTTTTGTAAGTTTCAAGGGTTGCTGCCTTAATTCTTGGTGTTTAGGAATTTGATAAGCAAGTCCAAGTTCACCCTACCCATCAACACTCACCACGATTTTATAGGGTTGGGTAATATTCTTTCTCAGTCTTGACTTCCAGATTGAAAGTCCTACATTTCTAGTGGTCTGCCCTTCTCTTCATCACATTGGCTACTTCCCTGCCTTTCTTTCTTTAAGTCATCTTTTCACCTAAGTGCAATAGGCAAACTGTCCTTACATAGGCAAAGAAAGACACATCTTGTGTTTTGTTTCTTGTAATGGTGGATAAAATTTTACACTTAATTTCTAAAACCTGTTCCTAATAATAGCTACTTTTGATGGTGATCACACACTGGACAGGAAGCTTCAGAGATCTCTTTCTGAACTTAAACAGTCCCCAGGAGACCACAATACTCACAGTGTTAAGGAGCACTGTCAAGTGTTTTGTATTATAGGATGCCCCACTCCTGGAATTTGTCTGTTGTTTTCTCATGATGAGACTAAGGTTATGGGTTTTAGAAGGAGGACCAGCTCAATGTAATTTTCCTGAGAGGAATTTGATACCTATAGATTTAAAACACGTCTAGACTTCACAGAACTGTTGCCACGGACATAAATTTATGTATCACTTTTAGTATTATGATGAGAGGCAGAAAAGAATATGATGATTTAAAAAAAGAAGGTTGGCTTTAAAAAAAAAAACCCTAAGAGGTAGATAACATTATAAAGACAGCAAATAGTAGTCATTTTGTTTTCCCAAGTAAGCATGTTCTTTATGAATTAAAATTACTATGACAGACAAAAATGCATAGGTAATTCATAGCTAGTTCAATTCCATATATCTATAGAGGTTAATATTTGGGATTTATGTCAATAAATGTTACTCAATTATATTTATGTTTTCAGAGCACATGGTCACATTTTTGTCTGTCAAATAAACAATAAAGCATCATGCAGGATTCTCTAGCCTATGGGTCAAAAATAGCCTGTCTTAAATCTTTAGAAAATTTATAGTAGGCAAAGAATTCTCTCCTGAGCAGTGGTTCTCAAACTTTAGCATGTATCAGATTCACCTGAAGGGATTGTTCAAATGCAGATTCCTCGGCGCCATCCCCAGCAGTTCTGATTTGGTGGGTCCGGGGTGGGGCTTGAAGAGTGTCATTTCTACAAGCTCCCAGGTGACGCTGAGGCTGCCGGTCTGAGGTGCACTATGAAAACCACTGCTTTAGAGTCAACCAGGAAACTACACTTATTAAGTGCCTATGATGACTAAGGTATTTGATATCCATTACCTTATTAACTAGTTAAGAAACTAATCGAATCAGTATTATTTCCCCTTTTAGAAATGGGGAATCTGGGGCTTGGAGAGACTGAGGAACTCACCCGAGAAGATAATGGGATTAAGCAGCAAAACTGCCATTCAGATCTCCTCCCAATTCTAACACCCATGTTTTTCTAGCACAACATACTGCTTCTTGTTGATACCTAAAGATGTATATGGTGATGGGTGTAGGTCAGCAGGGTGTTAACAAAAGGACAGGGATTCTTACTGAAAAGTGGGCAAAGGTTCAGGGTCATGGAGAGGATTCACTTATTTCTGAACTTCTGAAATAATCGAGGGTAAAGTGAATTTACTGTATAACAAAACAGGAAGAATATGTTTCATCTAGTACTGAATATTCCTTAATTACTATTATTTTATTATTCTTTACAGAAAATACACATTTAAATAAGAGTCCTTAAAAGAATAATCTTATTTAAATTTAAGTTTAAAGCATCACATTATTCTAAATCTCTGCCAGTGTACACTACATTACCAATCAACCACTTACTCTGAAATTGAAGTAACATGATGGTTTTCAACAAAATGTTCTGACAATTACTAAAATGTTTATCTCCTTTTACAAAGCAGATCAAAAGCAATGACAATACATAACAAAATAAGCAATTTAAGTTTTAAGAAAAGTGGTACATTATACAGTAAATAGATTGCCAAAAATGAAGTTGCCAATAGTATAAATTTCTGTCACTTTGTTATACTGTATATAAAAAAGGACACTGAGACACAAAATTATTAGACCACAGACTTAAAATAGTTAATGAGGTCTAAACTTCAGAATGACAAAAAACCCCCACCCGATTCTGCATCTCTATCAAAACAAATATTTTATGTATGAAAGATTCCTCTTTTAAATATCTATCTCTATATACATATTGCCAGGTAGTACTGTTAATTAAACCCATAGTTACATTTATTTAAATAAGAATTAAATAAACTGCCCCAAATGCTGATTTTCATATCACAAAACATAAGTATTTTAAATCACAACTTCAGGGTGGTATACTGAATACACTGGTTTCTTAGGCAACATTCACAAGCATATTTTTAAGAATATATTTTCATCTATAGGTCATGTAAAGCTTTATTAAATGGTAAACACTTTCAACAGTGCAGAAATATAAGATTCAAAAACAAATACATTCAGAAGATCTGCTGTTCAAATAATATTTTTTCAAAACCAGGTGGAGGAGTATGATAAAATTCACTGAACTGGCAATCCAAAATTGCACTATCATCAACTAGAGGATAGAAAAAAAAAGAAAATAAATTAGAAGCAAATATCTTAATTTGAATCAATACATAATTATAAAATAAGCTGTTTTCACAACACCATAATAGGCAAGAAGAATAAATACATCTGCTGTCCATGTTACATTTTTACCCACAATGAAAAACAAAATCTATCTGTCAAAAACATGTAAGGATATATTACATCAAAATATTAATAATCATTTCTAGATGGTGTGAATATAGGCCATTTTAATTTTTTTCTTATTTGTGTACCTGTATTTTATCAATATTATACAATTAAGATTTTATTATTTTAAAAAACGTTTTATGTTGAAAAAAGTATAGATTCATAGGAAGTTGCAAAAATACTAGAGACAGTCCTGCATACCCTTCATCCAGCTTGTTCCAGTGGTAACATCTTACATAAGTACAGTTCAACACTCAAACCGGGAAACTGACATCAGTATACTACTGTGAACTAGACAGCAGGCCTTATTCAGTTTCTACATGTTTTTACCAGTATTTACTTGAGATGAATGTGTATATCCATACAGATACTTATACACAAATGTTCATAGCAGCTTTATTTGTAATGGCCCCAAACTGGAAACAAGGCTAATATCCATGAACTGGTGAAGGGATAAGCAAATTGTGATATATCCACACAATGAACTATACTACTCAGCAATAAAATGAATGAATTATTGATATATGCTACAACATGCATGAATCTTAAAATAATTAAGCTGAGTGAAAGAAGCCAGACCTTCCCCACCGCCCCCAAAAAGAGTACAAACTGTATGATTCTGTTTATACAATACTCTAGAAAATACAAGCAAATCTGTAGTGACAGAAAGCAGATCAGTGGTTGCCTGGTTGGGGCTGGCGGGGGAGAGGTGAGTAGGAAGGATATAGGAGGCAGAAGGAAACTTTTGGGGTGATGAATATGTTCATTACCTTGACCTTGGTGATGACAAAACAAAACATCACCACAAAGCAAAACAAGTAAATAATTAACACTACTGTCAAGTAGTGATTATTCCCTGGGTGAGGAATGGAACTATGGTGGGGGCTGCATCTGGGCTGCTGAAAATGTTCTATTTCTTCCCCTAAGTGGTAATGATGTGGGTGTTCACTTTATAGCTATTTGTTAAACTTCACATATATTTAATGCACATTTCTATATGCTT